AATGCCAATAAAATCACTTGCACAGCGTAGCATGGTATAAGCCATATATTGATATAAATTTTATCGCCGCAATGTAATTAAATTACTTAGCTTCCGTGCACGGGCGAGTACAAAATGCAGTGTGCAAATCCTTTTAAAAGGCCATAAATGCGGCATATCAGTGAGCAGTCCCGAAAGGGGCAGCCCGAGAGAGTGAGAAAGAGAGGAGGTAGGGAGAGGTGGGTGGCCCTTCTTCCCCTGGGAGAACGCTGGGCATATTTGCTGGCAAAGCCACCGCAATAACCGCTGTCAATATGCGGATTAACGCATCAATTACATGACCAGGCCGGGTCCGTCGTTGCAGACGCCGTGCAGGATATCGTGTTTATTAAATTGCTGTATGAGTGTGTGTGTGTGTGTGTGTGTGCACAGACTGTTGCATGAGTGGCGCGTCAGCCGGCAAAAATGTCATTTGCGCAATAATTTAATTAATTGCAAATTGTGCAATCAGGCTGGCTGCCTGCCTGCTGTTCGCAGAGCCAAAATTAAAAAAAAAAAAAAATTAAAACAATTTGAATTCCATTTGGGGCAGCTGACATTGCTCTAAACCCATTTACATTTATGATGGCTCCCACTTTTGGCCAGGTCAGTGGCAACTAAATTAATTCGATAATTGACTTCCACTCTTTTGACTGCTTCTCCAATTTTTTTTCTGTTTTTCTTTTTTTTTTTTATTATTTTCTACTCTAACTAAAGCTGGTCTTGTCGTTCCTTTCTGGTCCTTTTGGCTCGTTTATTTTTTATGTGTACGATGCCGCACAGAGAAAACATAAAAACGTCTGTTGCGTGTTGCATATGGAAAATTGCCAGAAAACGCGACAAGGGAGCTGAAGAGAGAAAGGGAGAGGAGAGACAGAAAGAGAGAGCGATGGGGGTCCAAAAGAAGTCGCAAAAGGAAATGTAGCAAGTCGTAATGGCCCGGACAGCAGTCCAAATAAAAAAGAAGAAGAAGTAAAAACACAGGCATAAGAATACAGGCGAAAAAAAAAATATATATAGACGGAAATTCAGCTCGCATTTGGCTTGGGAGTTTTAATAGTTGTGCAAGTGCATGTGATTGCTTTATGGGATTTGGATGAACTTGGCGGCACGTGCTGCTTGGCATTTAGTTAATTATCGCAAATTAGCCAGCCATTGCGGCACAAATTGATTGCCGACCTGTTTAAGTATTCCTAATTGGAGCGAAAACACATTAATTCCCAAGCACTTTAAATAGTTGTAAGCGTTTGCCAGGCGACAAATGGGAAGAGAGCAATATGTTGTGAGAGAATATTGTGAATATAAATGAAGAAATATATCAGACGTAATCTGGTAAATTGATAAGGAGTAAAGCAAGAAAAAAATTCAAAGTAAATAATGTAAAAGATATATAAAAAAAAAAAACAAAAATAATAATAATAATAATAATATAAAGTTAGGTTAAACATATTTTACTAAAATTTATTTAAATATTAAAAATTCTTTGAAAATGAATGTAAATTCAAATTTAGTTTTTCTTTGTGTCTTTGTAGCCTTGCAGCCCTCAGCTCTGAATTCTCAACTGTTCCATGCTCTTTGCTCAATTCTCAATTCTCGACCGAATGCAGATACTTTTTGCTAGTTCTCATGTTTATTTAATTTGATCAATTGGCGCAGCGTGTCACATAAATTTGTTCAATTTTAAGAATGCACAAAAGACACTAAATTTGTCGGTTGTTTGTCGACAAAGGCAGGCAGGTTGGCAGGCAGACAAAACTGGTCTGCCTCGGTGGCAAATCGTGGACGACACCTGCGAACAGGAGTGGGCGGCGGGTGGGGCAGCTGCTTGACCTGCCCACGTAGCACATACGTCTCAACACCTTGGCAAATGAAAAGAAATTGCCAAAGACGTCGATAGGTATTGTATGGCCGAAATGGGCAGCTGCAATAGTAGAAGCAGCAGTAGCAGCTTTTCTTTATATTTATTTTTCAGCTTTTCTTTTTGATATATATTTTTTTCTTTTTTTTTTTTCTTTTGCTATATGCAACAATTTCCCTGTTGTGCAGCACGTGAGCCGCATCCACATGGCAGCCTTCAACTGACAACATACTTCAATGCAATTGCATTTAAATCAGTTGGTGAGGGAGTGAAAGGGACAGCGAGGCAGTGAAAGAGAGACAGTGAAAGAGTAGATGTGTGTGTATGGCTGAGGTCCTTTCGTGTGTTGCCGCCGTTTGCGCTGCGCTCATAAATTATGCAAAATTTTTTGGAGTCAACAGCACATATGCATGTGTGTGTGTGTCTGTGTGTGTGTGTGCTGGCTTGTGTGGTGTGCTCCATTTGTTCATTTCGAGACCAATAAAATGAAACATTTCTAAGTAGTAAATATGCAACCCATCGACATTTTGGACCGTTTTTGTCTGCGTCTGCGGCTCGTAAACTGTCCGAAGCGCTGACCCCATCCTCTGCTGCTCCAGTCGCCGCTGCCAGTGTAAAATTTTCCATTTTCCATTTTCTATTGCGCTTAATGAATTGCTTGTGTGCGGTTCGCAGTGGGCCCCAAAGCATTTTGAATATGCATAAGCACAACACTTTGCCAATGCATTTAACTAAGTTTACAATTTTTTACACATTTTTTTCCTCGATATTTTTTTTTTGGGATTTTTCTCAACGCCCGCAGCTGAAAATGCAACACAAAAGTTTTGTTTTGCTGTAACATAATATTTTACTCAAAGCTTGCAAGAATATAGAAAAAATATGTTTTGGACGCAGCCCAAAAAAAAACCTGCCACAGATAGCAGAATGAGAGTGAGATAGAGATAGATAGCAGAGTGAGTTCGCTGCTGAAGTAAGAATAGAAAAACAAACGAAATGGCTCGTGCCATGTCATGTTTTTTGATGCACGCTGCCACGCTGCCACGCTGCCGTTGCCACTGCTGCCAGCAGTCCGGCATGAAGTATCCTGTATCCAAGTATCCTTTTTCATTTTGTCATGTCGCCCGGCCAACCAACCAACGCCACGCCGCACCGCACCGCCCACGCCTCGTGGACAAGGCAAAAGTATTGAGGCATAAGTAAAAATTGCTGTACCATTTGCTCAAAAAATTGTTGGCCGAGTCGTTGATGTGGAAACGGCAGACCAGCTCCACAAATGAACACTTCCAGCTTTAAGCCAAGACAATGGACAAACAAATAATGCAACGAAATGAAATGAATAAAAAACACAAAGCAAAATGAAAGAAGAGAATGTGTTTGAGGCATGCCACGTTGTGGCACGTGTAAATTAAAGAATTTGCTTAGAAGTCAGAGGGAGGGAGAGAGAGAGAAAGAGAGAGAGAGTTGCCTGATGAATGCATTGCAGTTAGCATATTATTAATGAATCGCTTAATTTGAAGAGACTGAAACAAAAGCCAAGGCTGTAAAGCGGGAATATAATGGAAGTTGTGAAATGATTAAAACTTAATTTGAATATATTAATAGTAATTATTCTTATTAGTTGCTTATAACTATTTATAACTAAATGAGCATGTATATACAAAAAAAAAAAAAAAAAAAAAAAAAAAACAGAAAAAAAATAATAATAAAACAAATAAAAAATAAAATAAAATAAAAATAAATAAATAATAAAAAAATTAAATCTTAAATGTCCACAAAAATTACGAACGTTGTATTACTGAAAAATATTATGTTAATAAAAAAAACATATATATATGTATATATATATATATATATACATATATATAAGATTAGGTCAATATTAGATTATTTGTTTGTTATAGATTAAATTGATAAATTTTAATACATTTAAATTATTAAATTAAATTTTAATAAATCTCGATAAATACTAAAAAATTAAATCAAATTAAATAATTATTGGCCTATTGCTTCCATCAAAGTTTTGATGTTTGTGATGCATTATCTATAAACAATGCTGATCTTGCATTGTAATTATAATCTGAGGCTGTGTCTGATAAATGCTGTTTAGGCAACTACATCCACCCTTAGTTTTAACTTGAAAAACCTTTCAGGCCTTAAGCAACTTCCATTGGGATTAGTTACTCCCTTAATGCTCCCCCAATGCTATATCATAAACCGTCCATCAAAATTAACATCTCTCATATATTACTCAAAACTTTTTTGGCTTTTTGTATGCATGAAGCACTATTTAATTGAGTTTCTCTTTAGGGTAAGTGCGAACAATCTATTTAATTTGGGTTAGCTTTGTTTTATGGATTGGTGCTTCAGTCAGGCCGCAAAAACTTTTAATCAAACGTGCGCCCCGCTAATTATGTTAGTTTTAACTGTGGTTCACTCACTCATTGTTGTTGTTGTTGCTGCTGCTCCTGCTGCTGCTGTTGCCAGCACATTTGATAATATTCAATTATTTCGAGGCGCGCATTGTGCTGACTTTGGCATTGACAGAGCATGTGTGTGCGAGTGTGCGTGTGTGTGTGTGTGTGTGGGAGTGCAGCCACACACACTCAGACAGACAGGCAGAGAGACAGACAGCCCAGGCGGAAATAGGAAATGTTATTGTCGTTGCGCATACGCCACGTTGCCCGCCCGCACCCACCCGCCCTCTCGACACCCCCCCCCCTCGCCCTTTTTGCTGATTTGCAAAAGTTTTGGCATAAAACAAAAATGTGATTTACATGGGGAAACGCAGTTAACAATGCGCCTGCCATGTATGTGGGCGTGGCCATGTGTGTGCCTGTATGTGTATGTGTGTGTGCTGTATATTGGCAACAAAGAGCATTTCATGTTAAACAGCTGGCAGCGGCTGTCGGAAGCCGCCGCCGTGCAAAAAACTTGCCACAATGCGGCATGAATCCTGCTCCACTCTCTCGACACACGATGCACGACTCTTTGGGCTCTTATCAGCGGCTGTCAAAAAGTTATGCCTCCCCCCGCAGCCGCCACACCCCCTGACCGCTCCACACACGACAGACAACCTGTTGCCAAGTTAATGAAAACTCAATCGCAGGCAGTTGGCGCAAAACTTTTCAATTGAATAGTATTCATGTATATCTAAATATATGTATATACATATTCGTTTATATATATGTATATTTTGTAACTTAATCATAGCTCGACTGGCACAGCACAACACGATGATCTTTCTGCAGCTATGGTGGACGCTGATGGTGCTGACAGGCAGCTCCCATACGGAGCCACCGAAACAGTTCGAGGCGGACTCGGGCAGCGAAGAGCTAAGCAATTTTCATGATGCCGTAAATGAGGCACGCGATCAGCTGCAAGAAATACACTCGAGCTATGGACAGGTGCAGAACGCTGACCTGTATCGACATCGGCGCAATAGCATCGATGAGTTGCTGGCGAGCTTTGCTCAGGCAGGCAATAAGGACGCAGCTGAGCAGAAGGATAGTAATAAGGCGCAGCCAGAGACGGCGGATGATTGGCTGAGTGACTTTGAGGCAAGCTTGGCGCAGGAGCAGCCAGCAGCTCCACTAGCTGCAGCAGCAGCGGATAAAGGCGCAGCAGGAGCAGAAGGTGCAACAGCAGCAGCAGCAGCAGCTGACAAAGGTGCCGCAGCAGCAGCAGATGCTGCAGCGGTGAAAGCAGAGCCTGCTGACAAATATCAGCGCGCCACAGGCAAGGCCAAGTCCATTGATCACATTAGCTCGTATAGCAAGGGCTTCGATCAAACCGAAGTGGGCAAGGTGAAGAAGAAGTACAAGGAGCTAACGGATGAGAATCTGCCCGTCAGCCATTTGCCGAATAAGCCGCAATTCGATTTTCTTAGCGGTGGCGCCACCGAGCTGGACATTAAGCTGCGCCACATGCAACAGCAACTGAACAATCATGAGCTCCAGCAAAATCGGGACATTAAAAAGGATCCCAAGCCGGACCTAGAGCAGGGCCTCAGAGACTATGGCAATGATATTGTGCCAAATGGAGTCTATGAGCAGACGCTGGCACGCCTACAATTTCCACGCCTCAATCCCAATAATCTGTCGCACGAGGCGAACTATAAGCTGTCCAAAATCGAGCAGGAGGCGGCCGAGCAAGCCAACAAGATGCGCTATCCCCCTGGGCTGAAGAAGCGCAGCTCCAATAGCGGCTTCAATCCCATGAACGAGATCAAACTGAAGACGAGCAACAGGCTGATGCTAAAGGGCATGGGACCATCGCTACCCAGCAATTCGCTCTCTGATACGCTGCGTGCCCACTATGTGAACGATATAATCATGCAGCGTGAGCTGAGGATGGAGCGCGAACGGGAGAAGGAACGCAAGCAGGAGCAGCAGGAGAACGAGGAGCAAGCGAGTGTCATGCACTTGCCATATGAATCGCTCAGCTCCATCGAGGACAGTTCCATTCGCGGCCTTGGTGCTGATAGCAGAGCGAGCTCCAATTTGGATGTCTCCAGTATGCATCTGTTGGACACGCCGCAGAGCTACGACTATCGCATGCCCCACTTTGATCAGTTTACGGCGTCAAGGCAGCGCGTCTTGCCCAATCTGCGGGACTATGCGCATGCGAATACCAAACTGAATTTGGGACGGGAGGGCGAACGCTACAAGCGGCAGCCGGAGACGCAAGCAGAAACTGAGAGCGAGTCGAGCATGGAGCAAACGGAAGCGGCCTTGGGCGGGGGCAAAGGCAAAGGCAACGATAAGCTGCCAGAGGCAGAGGCCATAATGGCCAGACTCTCGGCACCGGAGCCTGCCATAGCTGATAAAGTGGAGGCCAAGCTGAAGGCAACTGAGGAAAAAGTGGAGAGCCAAGGCGCAGCTCAGCTCAAACCAAATCAAGAAGCTCAAGCCGCAGCACTCCAGGCCGAAGCTGTTCAAACCAATAGGCAGTCCACGCATCAGGAGCAGGTCGATGCCTCAGTGGATGCTCAACCGTCGCAAGCTGTCAATGAGAATGCCAAGCAGACTGAAATCAACGAGGCGCACTCACAGATGCTGTCCAAGGCGAAGTCTGTGGATGAGAAGGACAAAGAATTCATGCGGAATGAAGAGAACTCTCTGAAGACAAAGACCAAGCGCGAAGAGTTGTCTGAGCTGCATGGCATGTGCAAGACTCATCCAGATGCTGTGATCAAGCTGCTAGCCAACAAGATCTCGCAGCATGAGAAGGAGCGAGATAAACGCAATATTAAGCGGCGGAATCGTCAACGTGGGCTACGCCAAAAGCCCAATCGCAACGGTAGCAAGCGACGCTGCAAGCGCTCAATGGAGACGGAGCCACAGGCAATGCCAGAGGCAAGTGCTCAAGGCGAAGAGCAATCACAATCCGTTCTGCAATCGGAGGCACAGTCAAAAGATCAGACAGAGACACAAGCAAAGTCCGATGACTCAGATGATCGGCTAAGATCCAAGATGCATTCCGAGCTGGAGCTTCAATCAGAGGCGGTGGAATCGGATTCACAATCTGATTCAGAGGTGAAGACTCTATCGGAAAGAGAGAAAAGATCCCAGCGCTACTCCGAAACGGAGGCACAGTCGGACTCACAGCTAGACACCCAGTTGAGAGCTAAAAGAAATCATGATTCAACGCTAGAGCTAGAATCCGAGTCACAGTCGGAGGGTTTATCAGAGATTCAGTCGGACTCACAGCTAGAGCCCCATACGATTTCCAAGAGATATAAAAAATCAGAGCGAGATTCCGATATACAATTAGAAGAGACTTCCCATGCAGATGAACGAAATATGTTCGATTCTCGTTCAGAGCTCTTCATGTCGCCATCTCAGTCGGAGTCGGACTCACAATCCCAATCCCAATCAGATTCGGAGTATTCTCCACTAATTCAACCGAAACTGGAATTACAGCCATTGCTAAATATAATGGATAGTCCATCGAAAGCCTTAGATGCCTTCGAGGACCACAATGGCAATCGTTTGCATTATGGGAACTTGGGCAACGATCTGTATCTGGATTCAGCTAAAATTGCGGAGGACAATGATGACGATGATCTGTCCTATGATAGATCCCGGCTGTCCAGTTTCAAAGGCGATGATCTGACGCAGGATTCGGGCGCAGTTGACACCAATATTTTCACCAATTCGCGCTACCAGGTGCCCATGATGAGTCAGCGTAACAATCCACAGCGCTACCAGTATATGCAGCCCTTCCAATCATATATGCCGCCTCAGCAGCCGCAGCACTTGTATCCACAGCAGCTGCAACAGTTGCAGCAGTGCCAGCCGCAGATGGTGCAGCGACAACAGCCGCAGCAGCCCCAACAATTCCATAATCAGCTGCTGACCAACAACTTGAAGTCGAATCTGAATTTTACGCATCTGTTCAATGAGCTGGTGAAGCTGCAGAAACCGCAACAGCAGCAGCAGCAACTGCAACAGCAGCAGATATCACAGTTGCAGCAGCAACAATCGCAGCTGCATCAGCAGCAGCAGCAGCAGCAGCAACCGCATCAGACAAATTTAGAATCTAATCATTTGAAGCCTTTGTATGGCGTGCATCGTCACTTTGGAACGTCCGCTAATAGGGCCAACAAGCTGAATCTTATGAATGATCCGTGTGTGCCAACCAGCAAAGTGACAACTGAACCATCAGCAGAGACAACATCAGCAGACTCAACAACAACGACAGCTACAACGGCGGAAACGACAACAACAACAACAGCAGCAGCAGCAGCTGCGGCAGCAGCGGCAACAACCGCGGCAACAACAACAGCAGCTCCTCCTGCTTCTGCTGCTGCTGGCAGCACCATGAATCCCGATTGTGTTCCTATTCCAACAGAGAGCACAACTTCACGCACTCAGTCAAGCACAGCAGCACCCGATGTCGCAGTCGATAATAATAATATTTGCAATAGACCCGATGCCGTTAAGCTGAATGTGTCGCTGAATGCGAATGTGTGCACAGATCCGAAGACGAATCAATTCATCAGCAATGGTACGATCAGTGTGCAGCCGAGCGGCTCGCGTATTATTGCATCCTCACTTGTGGACGAGGACTACGTGAATTGGGATAGAGACGAGCGTTACTCACGCGAGGCCATGGATCGGAACGAAGACGCCAAGCAGCGACGTCAGGATCGACACAAAAAGAAAGCAAAGAAAAAGGGCAAGAAGGCAAAAAAAGGAGATGCAAAAGATGATAATGCCAAGAAGTAAGTAGAAAAGAAGAGGAGGAAATAGAGAGAGAGAGAACGATAGAGAAAGAGAGAGAGATAGAAGCAGAGAAAGAGAGAGAGAGAGAGAGAGATATCGAGAGATTCAAACATATACAGATACACATACAGATATAGATACAGATACAGATACAGGTAGAGATATAGATAGAAATACAGATACAGATACAGATACAGATACAGATACAGATACAGATACAGATACAGATACAGATACAGATACAGATACAGATACAGATACAGATACAGATACAGATACAGATACAGATACAGATACAGATACAGATACAGATACAGATACAGATACAGATACAGATACAGATACAGATACAGATACAGATACAGATACAGATACAGATACAGATACAGATACAGATACAGATACAGATACAGATACAGATACAGATACAGATACAGATACAGATACAGATACAGATACAGATACAGATACAGATACAGATACAGATACAGATACAGATACAGATACAGATACAGATACAGATACAGATACAGATACAGATACAGATACAGATACAGATACAGATACAGATACAGATACAGATACAGATACAGATACAGATACAGATACAGATACAGATACAGATACAGATACAGATACAGATACAGATACAGATACAGATACAGATACAGATACAGATACAGATACAGATACAGATACAGATACAGATACAGATACAGATACAGATACAGATACAGATACAGATACAGATACAGATACAGATACAGATACAGATACAGATACAGATACAGATACAGATACAGATACAGATACATAGATACAGATACATAGATACAGATACATAGATACAGATACATAGATACAGGTACATAGTTAGATACATAGATACAGATAAATAGATACAGATACATAGATACAGATAGATAGAGAGAGTAACGTTTTCACACCATCTTCAGCAATTCGAACTCCACTTTGAGCTCTTCGAGCAACTCTTCGGACATCCACGTGGATATGAATGAGCCGTATAGTGAGCACTATGGCAAGCTGGTCTCTGGCAAGCTATCCGATGATATAGTTCATACTGTTTTCGATATGGTGAGCAATGATCCGAGCATGGATGCATTGGTCGCAGTGCTGGCCAAGAATCGTAAATGCGCTGTGAAGGCAGCCAAGAATTTCTATCAGATACGCAACAATCAGAATGAGAAGCAACTGCAGGAGACGGAGTATATGGTGCGACGCACTATGGAGACGATTAGCGATCTGATTGATAAGCAAATGCAAATGAAGAACTGTATACCATTGCGTCCCGATCTGGTGGAGTTCTACAATCTGATCATGAAAAATATGGCCGAGCAGCAAAAGACGCGCGATAAACGTGAGGCGAATCTGCGATTGCTTGCCCAAAGCAACGAGCAGGCGGAGCAAATTTTGGAGCCGGCTAACATTGAGCAAAAGTCACGTATTGTCAAGAAGCTGCTGCGAGAGTTCGAGGAGCTGCCTGTCGAACAGCAGAGGCAGGCGGCCGATGTGCGGGATGAGCTGCTCCTGGATCTCATCTATCTGCGCAAAATGTCCGATGCGCTGGAGCGGAAGCAGCGCGATGCACAGCTGGACGGACTGTTGCACAAGGCCATCGTTACCGAGGGGGCGGAGACAATACACCAAGAGTTCACGCCGCGCTTCATCAAGCTGTTCAAGACCGCAGAGATCTTCAAGGAGGTGGGCGAGCAGCAGGCAAGGGATTTCGTAGGTCTTTGAGAGGGAGCTGGGTTCAGGTATCTAAATGAAATATATGTTGTTTTTCATTTATTGTGAGATTATTCGATTTTGTTATTAAATTAAATTAAATTATGTTTAAGGAAATTGAATAAAATAAATTTTACTTAAAAAATAAATTTTTTTAAATCAAAAAAAATTAATTAAAAAAAAAATTAAAGAAAAATTAAATTAAAATATATGCAAAACAGGTTTTCATATATATTATTTTTAAATATTTTTAAAATATACTTTTTATTTATAAATATAAAATAAAAATGTTCTGTCGAGACAGATAATTACAGATTCAATCAAATTATATGCAAGAAAATCAAAGGTAAAATAAATATAGTGAGATTTCATATGAATATCTAACAAATTCCCTATCAGTTCTGCCTAGCCAAAGTAATGCGAGAGACCCAGGTTGGCTCCAAAGTCTTTTTGGCCACTCAGCGGTCCGCTCATCCACTTGGAGGCTGTGCTGCTGAGATCGAGGCGTGTGTTGCGGTCCTGCGACTGCCAGAGATTCGCGCGTCCGCCCAACTCCAGCTGCTTGCCCAAGCCGGGAATATTGCTGTGCGTCAGACTGGCGCCATGGAGTAGTCCAGGCCAGCGCCATTGCGTTCGAACTTAAGGCCGTTGGCCAATTGGTTCTGGGAGGCGAAAGCCTTGGCGTCCAAATTGTGAACGCCATTGTTGAATAGATTCGCCGTGGCCGTTTGCTGGAAGCTGTCACGTACGCCGGGAGTGTGTGTCTTGGTCAGGTCCAAGCCGAGGCCGTTGCTGTGACAGAGATTGTGCAAGGATTAGACTTGGGCGGCAGCCCGTGGTTAATTGATGAACATACTTGTTGTAGGCCAAGGAGGCGCCGCTTGTCACGGGCTTGGTGACGGGTCCGCCGGTTTGTGTGTTGCCCGCGGCAAATACCTGTCCGATTACATTGTGCTCCGGCGTGCCTATGGCCTTGCTCAGATCCAGGCGTGCATCGGCGCCGCCAGAGGGATTTGAAACCAGCGAACCGCCCAGCACCTGTCGACGTGCACGCAAAATCGGTGCAGGAGTCGGCGGTGGGGGATAGTAGACCAGGCGCTGGACATGTGGCTGCTGTGGCAACGCAGCGGCATAAACGCCCAACAGTCCCAGGCTGAGGATAAGACAGATTCCGAACATTTGGCACATGTTTAATTGTTGTTGTTGCGATTGCTTGTGTATTGATTGCTTCAAGCTGCTGCTGTTGATTGTGGCCCACACCTGACTTTTATATACGTTATATAGTTCTCTGGCGTAGCGAGATGAGATGAGATGAGATGCGAGGATTGATGCTGCAATTGTGCTTCCCTCTCGCATGTGATTTACATTGTGTGAACTTTTCGAGCGTTGCCTTTGCTGATAAGGCGATAAGCGTAGCTGCCTTTCACTGTTACCCGGAATACCCGTTTGCTTGAGTCGGTGATTTACCTAGCCAGAAGAGTATAGCAAAAGAAGAAGAAAAGAAGAGTATAGCAAAAATAAAAAAACTAAAATACTACCAGCTATAAGAATAAACATAGCCAAGTTATTTATTATATAGCCCAATTTACTTGAGATATTTTAATCAAATTTTATACACATTTTCTTTTAATTACATAAATTTATTTCAAATAAACTCTGAATTGTATTTAAATTAATGCATAAGCACGAAATTATTAAGCTGGTAACTGAAATAAAATTTGGGAAACTTTAATTGAAAGCAAAGTCACTCAAAGCATTCGAAAATGTCTCTGCTGGCGAATCGCTGGGTGCAGCTGATGCACATCAAGAAGCAGATTCATCACAAGAACAAGGAGCTACAGAAATACAAATTGCTGGCACGTAAGCGCTTGAAGGCGTTACGTCAAATACGTAAGCAGCTGGCCGGAGCTGTCAATCAACTCTTAGCCGACTATTCGAAGAGGCGGAAACTGTCATCCAGGGCACAGGCGAGGGCACAGGTCGCCCGGCTGTTGTTCATTTACCAAAGTTCGCTGAACAAATGGAAAAAGAAGAACAAATTTCAGCAGAAGAAAATCAGAGAATTGCGCGCTCAGGACGACGGAGTAAATGAGAGTTTGCGAATTCTGCGCAATCGATTGAGAATGCATCCAAGACGCAAGTGGATTATTGCCAATAGTCTGCGCAGACTTCGCAAGCAAAGCAATATGCGCTACATAAATGATAATGCTGATGTAGAGATTGATCCAGAACTTTTTAAGAGATTGCTGTCGGAATTGAGTTGCATTGAAAGGTATCTAAGGGATCGTAAGCAAAAGCAAATACGCCAAGACGATGATAATTTAAGTAATGTATCTGCATTCCTAGCGTCGGAGGTCTTGCGGAAGCATGTGAAGAAAAAGAAACGTCATCAGCAGAAAAAGCATCATCAGCAAAAAGTCGAAGATATTCAGTTCACAGATGAGCAAGAGAATGCGTTAAATTCAAAGAAAATCCAATCTAAATTTGGTAAAGAATCGGCATATAAAACCCTCCAGAAAATTGAATCGAGTGTAAATAGTATTATCGGAATGAAAAAAAAAATAAAGGTCAACAAAGATCAAAAGACGAAGGAAATGATGGACATGTTAATAAAATCCAATGAACAGAATCTCAAAATAGAGCAAGAGAATACAATCGAAAACGAGAGTGAAATTCCGAAAGATGTCAGTGAGTTCAAAAGAGGTAAAAAAGGACAAAAACTGGAACCCAGATATAAAGAAGAACACACAGACGTTAATGTGATAGATAGAAGATTTTTACCGAAGGTTATATATAAGCGACCAAGCTATCGGCGACACAATCGAGTTCCCATTCAGGAAGAGTTCCCAAAGTTAACCCCGGGTGTAGTGGAAAATATAAAACCAAGAAAAACACTTTATTCTACAACCTTGAGAAAATCGACAAAGAAGAAGTATTCGTTAAAGGAGAGAAAACTATCTGGGGAACTTGAAAATGAAAGTGCGCTCAATGAAACCGAATCGATCGCACTAAGTGCACAACAATTGCGTCTTGATAAATTCAAGGACTTATATCAGGGTATCGAAGATGTGAATGGAAAGCTGAAAACGAAGCGAAATGAAGACAGTTCAAGCAACAAATCATCTCAATCCCGTCAAAGTCAAAGGGAAAGCAAATCGCTAATGGAATATATCAATAAACGAAAGAGCCGTCAGCCTAACGAAGATCAACAGGTGGCAGAGTTAACAGAATCCGAGCTACAGCTGAGGAAACATCAAACATATCTGCAACAAGTGCAGCATATAAAAGCGCTACAAAAACTGAAGCACCTGTCCAGCCATCAACAACGCCAGCTGCGACAGCTACAGGAGCAAGTAAAACAGCAACTGCCACAGAATCAGTACATACACCATCTGCAGCAGCTACGAAAACTGCAGCAGAAAATGCGCGATGGGAAGGCCGGAGAGCAATCCGATGAGGAGCTCAATGAATTGCTGGAGGCAGAGGCACCACAGTTGCCCCCAAAGACAAGCAGTCAGCCAGTCGATTTGGTGGCAGAGAAGAAGTTTGCAGATCAATTGGAGAAGGAGAAGAGTGCACTGAAAATAATATTCGAGGGCCTCAAAGAGGAGGGTCAGCCGAAAGATGTTGCCGTGTTGTTGCGCAACAAATCAGTGTCCGATATGCAAAACTCCGAATCATACAATGACGAGTTGACTCGCGGCGTTTCATTCCATGTATCGTCCAAACGGCCAACTGTTGGCCACGAGCTAATGGCCAAAATGGCCCTGCATAATAATGGAAAGATAGTTGAAGTGCAAAATATTCTCAAGGACACAATCACAGCGCCCAGTTTACTGGATGCAATGGTCGATCGCAATGCGATCATCCATGCGGTGCGAAATCACGACATGTGGAAAACTCTATACGATCTGTATGAGAATTTGAAAAACGTTCAAATACCCCAGCCGGTGATTTATCAAATGATGCGCTCTCAGTATTTGAAATTCATTAGCGAAATTGTCAACGAAGCGATACAAAATGGAGCAAAGACCAAAGGGAAGTCCAAGGCATACAAATTGGAAATGCGCGAGAGGAGGGACAGCGATTCGCTGGATGAACTGGAGCACACGTCCTATTCGCAGGCACCCAACGAACGGAAGAGCGCCATGTCCTATTCATCGATGGAAAACGAACGAGTCTCGGCGGAATCAAATATATATCGGGACCTGAAGCGCATGGATGATCGCTATTCGGTGCTTGTTATCCAGAGCATCTTGAGCGCACACTCCAAGTACTTTGAGCACCTGGCAGCCATGGAGCAAGCGTCGGATGCCATTCAGCAGGTGCAGCAGCAGATGCAAGAGCCGAAGAAGGCCAAGCCCGTCCAGGCAGCACCCGCGAAGCCGGAGAAGAAGCGTGCATCGTCGTGCATCACGCGCTTGTACTACGAGCCGCGTCGCACCTGCCGGCAGCGCCAGGCGGACGAGGAGTGCACGCCATGCGAGTGCCCGTCGGAGGCCAAGCTGGATGTGTGCATTAAGTGCGGCGCCGAATTGACGCCGCTGCCGGAGAGCGAGCCATCATCGAGTCGGGCTGATCTCGGCTTGCCGGACGATGTCCTGGCTGCCTGCATGCACAATCCTGAGGTGTTGCGGGCCACCGCAAATATTTGCGAGCGCTGCAGCTTTGTGCACAAGCCGAACGTGTTGTGCCCCAGCTTCAAGGCTGCGGGCGATGGCGCCACCAGGCTGCAGCAGCAGCTGCATCTTATCAAGCACCATGCCAGCAGCAATCGCCAGCATTTGGAAGGATGCAGCTGCTGCTGCTGCTGCCAGCCGGCCGCCCGACATGGTCGATGCAGCGCCTAAAGTGTTGCAACCGGTTTACAGTTTATGTGGCTGCAGCCCCAAAACGGGCAGCTGGCTGGCTGGCTCGCTGGCTGGCTGCCACAGCTCGTGGCAAATGAAACATTTTGTTTAAGTGCAAAATAAATTCAAGTAATGAGTTTGCAGCGTTTATGGTGAGTACGTTGCACATACGCAGCGATGGCCGGGGGGTGTTAAATGTTCGCCAAGTTTCATAAAATATGCAAAAAGCCAACACACAC